GGGGGGGGGGGGGGGGAACCCCTGTGCGGACCATGGGAGCGAAGGGACCACGGGAAGGGATTGTGACCCCAGCCAGCCCAGCGCTGAGCCCCACACCGACCCCATGGAGCCCATCCTGGTCCGGCCCACGGTCAGTGGGGCAGCAATGGGGGCACAGTGGGAAGGGGAGGGCGGCCCATGGGTGGGGGGGGGGCGGGAATAATGGGAAAAAATAGAGAAAAAAAAGAAAAGAGGAAAAGAAAGGAAACGGGATAAGAAAAGAAGAAGAGAAAAATAAAACAGGGGGGGGAAGGGGAAAGAATGGGGAGAAACCAAGAAAAACAGGGGAAATGTGAGAAATGATGGGAATGGGGGAATAAAAGACGAACAAAAGGGAGGAGAAAGGAAAAATAAAGGAGGGGGAAAAAAAGAATAAAAAAGGAATAAAAGCGAAAGAAAATAAAGGAAACGAAAAGCGAAAGATCCACCCCCGGGCGATGCCCCAATCAATACCCCAAGAAATCCCGCGCCGCTCCGCCGCCCGCGCCGCTCCGCGCCCTCACCGCCGCGTCCCGGTCGCTGCCCGCTTCCCACTACCGGGACACGCCCCCGCCCTCCCATTGGTCCGTCAGGGGTTCGGCTACACCCCCCGCGTTCCCATTGGTCCGCCGCTCGGCGGTCACGCCCCTCCCGTTGGCTCCGGCTCCCCGGCGTCCCTTCGGCCGGGTCGCAGCCGGTGGGCGGGATCGAAGGATGGGGGCGTGGCGAGAGGGCGGCAGCCAATGAGGAACGAGAGGGCGGGGCGTCGGGGCGGCAGGTGGCGCGCGGGGTCCCTCCATGGGCGGCGCGGTTGCCACGGGAACGGCCGCTCCGAGGCCCGGGCCTCGGGGAATCGATACCGAAATAGCGGGCTGGGAGCGGGCCGGGCTGGGCGCTGGGAGCCGGAACGGCGAAGCCTCCACGGGCCGCCAGCAGCCCCTTTTGGCCCCGCCGCGCTCAGAAAGCAGCACCCCTGGGAGCGGCTCCCTCCCGCAGCGCACGTCCGCAGGCTGGGAGCGGCGTGGAGCAGGGCGCGAGGCTGCGGCCCTGAGCGCTGCAGGGAGGCCGCGGATGCGCGCAGTGACGTGCGGAACGCTGCCCCCACACCGACACGAGGCGGGCTGAAGGTTGTTTACCCCGCAGTGTTCCGCTGCCAGAGCCACGGCACGCAGGCTGGGATTTCCTCGGAGATTATAAACAACAGCTTGGGGAGGGGATTACGGAGCAGCCGCTGCGGGGCCCCGCGCCGCCTCTGTGCTCCTCACGGGGGGGCCGGGAGGCACTGAGCACGCAGCTCCGTGTCAGGACGGTGGGTGACAAAGGCGGGCTGCTCAGTGCTGCTGGTGCCGGGCTTGCTGCAGGCAGCGGCTCAGGTCGTCGATCCTCATGTCCTTGAGGCGCAGCAGCTGCTCCAGCCTTCGCACTTTCATCTGCAGGATCTGAGCGGGGTGCAGCCCTCAGCCCGGCCCGCACTGAGCCCCGTGCCCTCACCCACAAGACACCCCCCCGACCCGCAGGCAGCCATCAGGCTTGGGGCCTCAATTCCTGCTCCCTCACCCAGCACAGCGTCCCCAGAACGCAGCTCGCTTGGAAGGACGGGAATCGGGAGCAGCTGGGGACCAGGGATTCACACAAGTGATGTGGGCACGTGTCAGGGGATCCGGGGCACGGCCGGGAGGAAGGGATTGAAAGGGAAAGCTGCTCTCCCAGCTGGGAGCAAGACACGGGCCATCTGGACACCAACGAGGCCACCTCCAGCCTGGCACGTGCCCAGGGCTGCCACCGGCAGAGCGACCTGGGAGGCTGACAGCACCGAGCAAACGGCCCCGGGCGCCCAGCTTTGCTGTAGGGGTGGTGGGAGGTGCAGGGAGCTGCCCTGGGACTCACCTGGATCGTCTCCTGCGCCAGGAGCAGCACCTGCTCCTTCTCTGCCAGCTGCAGGCGGATGGCAGCAGCGTCACCCCCTGCAGCTGGGATGCGGTGCTGGTGGCTCTCGGTCCCCCTGGGCAGGAAACAAAACACCAGGATGGTGACCAACCCCTGGTGCAGCGTGATCAC